ACAAAAATATATTTATGAATCACACACTTCGGTGAATACTTACAAAAATACATAATATTCAACGTAAGATTTAGCAGAAAAATGTTGATCATTCCACCATTCCTCCCACAAAAAACTAGCTAGTTTAAAAGACTTGATTTTTTATTTAAAAAAATATTTATTGATAAAAACTTTACAAATAAAACACTACTAAAATATTTTAAATATTCATAGCCCACGGGCTGGCCTCTGAGGCTTGCGGATTGGGCCTACGAGGCTAGCGGGCCAAATGAGATTGGGCTAAAAAGTCTCGTTCCTAAATGGGTTAAAAAAATTAGGCCTAACCGCACTTAATTCAAGAGTTGGGTTGAACCGACTTAACGGGCCAAACCCATTTTGACAGCTCTTGTAATGATTGCCAATTTGGTTCTTAAAAGTTAAATAACAAATCATGTGATTGGTTGTAAATTGGGATAATTTTGGAATCAGTTTGTTATTGGGTAATCAGTGAATAATTGTGACTAGTTGGGTGATTTGATTATAGATAATTTGATGTGTATTGCTGAATATTGAAAGAGAGAAAAGACAAAATATTTGTCATAAATTGGTAGTTGTTCAACGTGGGTCCAGGAAAATTGTGTGACTAACTTTCATGAAGAAAATGATAGGTGATGATTGCTACACTGTGTGGTTAGCAATTAGGAATTAGAAAATTGGAGATACAGTGAGGACATATGTATTCTTAGGTTCGGAGGTGGTGTGGATGATTGGTAATTTGGTTTAATTTCTTATTATTATCATCATATTATTTCTGTTTATGATTCTGTTTGGTACTCACCTCTTGCTTTTACAATTTTTTTGTAGGTTACGAGCCCGGATCTTCGTGATACCTTCTATTCCCTTCGTTTCTGAAGCTTTCTGTGGAAATTTATGTAGTTGTTTGCCATCTCAGCAGACCTTCTTATTCTTGTTTATGATTCTGTTTTTACTTAAAAGACAACGTCATTTGAGACTTGCGTATTTTATTTCAATTCTAGTATTTACATTAGAGGCTCATGCACGTGACAACCAGGTTTTGAGGATTGAATTAAATCGACTTGTTATTCGTATTAGTAATTATTTTTGGACTTTTGTTTTATTACCGAACTTTATCGATATGATTGAGTTTTAGGCTGACTTGTCTTGGTGGGATAAGACAAGTGTCATCACATCCATTTTTGGGTTGTGACAATTTAGTTTATGTATTTTGTATGTGCACGCATCGGTCAATAAAATTATATATGAACAAAATAAAATTATTTAAAAATACAATTAATGTTGAAATAAATATTATATCTATCTAGATGATGAATTTTATATAGAAAGGTTAAAAAGTTGTTTTTGAAAATGTGAACATTTTTAAAAAATATTTATAATTATTTTTATTTACCATATTTTAAGTACGATTTATATAAGAAAAAATGTTGATTTTAAAGAAGGAAAGATTGAAAAAAATAAAAAATTATTTAATTTAAAAGTACTCAATATTAGGAGTAATTACATGTTACTAATAACTATAAGTAAAGATCTATTAATTTCAAAGTCCTAAATATTAGGATAATATTTAAATGATAATTATTTGAGGAAAATAATAAAAGACAATTTTGTTTTTGTAGAGTACCAAAAATTCAATTAACATTTGTAAGGGACTTAGTGACTTATGCTTTTAAAATAATATAAATGACAAGATAAAATCAAGATTTATTAATATTCATAATTAAATACATAATAAAATAGTTATATATTTATCGGGGAAAATGTTCAAATGACTTTGACCACCTATGATCTATTGTTTAAAATTACACGGTTAGTCTATACTGTCACATCGTATTGGATGTTTTTTTTTTTTAAGAATAAAAATGCCATTGTCTTTGGATAAAGAAACTTTTATATCATTGGGTGATTTATAAAAATAACGGTTGAGGTGGATTTATAAAAAACTTTTAGTATTGAGTTAAGTTAGTAGATACTTTAGAAAAATTGAATACAACTTAAATAATACATGCAAAATTGGGTGATTTATAAGAATAACGATTGTCGACCCATTACATACTTTTCTTGTTTTTGTAAGAATGAATTTGCGGTGTTGAAAAAGCTTAAACCAAATTAATTAATTTTTAACGATCCAACTTAGAAGTCTTTAGTTGAAGAATAAATTATAAATATATGATCAAATATTGCCATAGCAATATTTCATTATAGCATTATGATTTTTCTCAAACTACACATTAAGTCAAAATAAGACAAACAATTCAAAATAGGGAAAATAATATTTTGAATGTATAAGTCAAGTAATATGCTTATTTTAATCAACAAATCATTTAATTTTCCTTTTTTTTTAATTTTAAAAAAAGAACCATATACTCAAACAAGCAAACATAACTTTAAATTCCAAAAAAAAACACGCTCAAGAAAAAATTGTATGTGACTCATGTATCAATACATGCAAAACTCATGTACAAAGTCTTTCGTGCACTAAGTCCTAGCTATATGAGGACCGCATATCACCATATTTTGTCGCATATCCAAGGCATTTTTTCAAATAAAAGTTTAACTCTATTACGATCTATATGGTGTGGATATGCGGACCACAATTAGCCCATGAAAATGGCTCAAGTAAGTCTTAAGTAAGACTTTTTTATTTTATTTTTTATGAAAGACATTGGCTACCAAATAAGACTCTTTTCGTCATGCTAGACTTCTCTTCTCATTGGACTCCTTTGTAAATTACTTCACCCATTATAGTTTGACCACCTGATTCGAAATTTAAGAAACAAATAAATTGTTTTGATATTTATAATGGTCTTAAACCCTTCTACAAGTCTATAACATTTGTATGACTATAGAGTGTTAACCTTTGAAATTTGTGGCCTTAAACATGTTGTAACATTTGTGTTGTTACAAAAACTTCTCATTAGAGTAAAATGATAAGTGTAAACTTAACTATTTTCGAATTCAATAGTATGTCATTCTCTTAGAAACAAACTAAAAAAACAAAAAATTATCAAATAAATTGAAACAGAAGAAGCGACGGAAGAGAAAATCTTGCATGAAAGAAGAGAGCATGTCAAGGTAGCCAAGGAGACTGCCTGAAACCAACCAATAAAAGGTGACCATTGTATTAATAATGGTGTAATTAAAAATCTTTTAAGTAATATTGAAGCAGGCAAGTCATCCTTGGCTACTAAACAATAATATGACTCTCCTCTTCATGTAAGATCTCTCTTCTTTCATATATATATTGAGATGATTGTTATTGGCCAATTTAGTCATCTATTTATAGTCACAACAAATTAGTAAAAATGGAGAAATAAGCATCTTTTTCAAAAATATAGTAGCTTTATGTTTTCCTTTATTGCTTTGA